ATATAAGAGGACCCTAATATAATCCCTATTATCTCTTATAGTCACTATTACTGGGTGGGGGGTCCACCTAACCTAAACCCTAAATCCTAAACAGTAGCTTCCATTTTCCTTTCCATTATCTCTATAATATCCCTATATAACCCCAATATTATCCTATGATCCCTGTATAACCCCTAAACGGCCCCTTTTTTTAGCAGGTCTCTGCGTACACCTTGGGCTCCCAGCGTTCGTTCCACCAAAACCCCAAGAGCTGACGCCGACGAAGACCGCACTGAGCTTTTGCTCTGTAGGCTCCGAGCACATAAGCAACCTGGCAAAGGATTGGTCATTAAATAGGGGTTATAAAGGGGTTATGTAGGGAAAAAGGACAAGAAGATAGAAACTGCTATAGTATTTAGGATTTAGGGTATGAAGTCATGGGACCTGTGAGAAAAGAAAATGGAAACTACTTTGTATTATGGGTATATTATGAAGTTATGGGACCTGTGATCAAAAGATCGGGTTTGCCTGTGACGAAACTTGAACGAAATTTCCAGAATACAGATATATGGGGGCTGTTCTAAAGGTCCTTGCAAAGAAGGGACCATTGGGAATACAGTTCCTTAGCAGGGCATCCTAACCAAACAGGAAACCTACATCATGGCCATTTTTGGGACAGGTATCTTAAACCCTAAACCCTAAACCCTACCAATATGGGAAATGAGATGGTTTACTTATTCCTTTAACTTGTAAATTCCTCCTTTTGGGAATGGGATTATATTGGGGCTATATAGGGATCATACAGGGGCTCTATTAGGGCTATATAGGGAGTATATAGGGGTTATATTGGGGCTATATACACATAGCAACCCAAAGAATTTCAAACTGGCAAGTGCAACGGGCAGTTTGACAAATCCAAGTGCGGGTTCAGCTGATTCAGGTGGTTGTTGGCACACACGATACCCCACCTGGCAGCAGAATGCATCTATTACTCAATCAGGCACCGACTTTCCCACTCACAGGGCGGCAATCAAGGTGCGCAGCACATGTGAAACGTAATAATATAGTAATATATTACTATATTCCTATATTATTATATTCCTATATTACTAGATTACTATATTACTAGAGTACTATGTTTCTACATTACTATATCATACATGCATATTCCATTGCGATTTCCCCATGCACCTGATACTGTGGAACGTCTTGATCAGGCTTGCAATGCCGGAGGTCTCAATGCAGTTGCCGATGTTCGACTTCATGCTGCACAGCTGCAACCTGAAAGTGCCGGTAAGCCCTTCCCGGGCGTAGGGTTTAGGGTCCCCAACCCATCCCAATCACGGCACAGTACCAGCCGTAAGCAACAGGCTCTGCGTATATATGTACGGGTTCTGGGGTAGAATAGTGGGGAATCCAATGGAAAAGAAAATGGGAAATGAAAGGGAAGCAGGGTTTATACAGGGGTCTGTAGAGATGTAGGAATCGACAAATGTTATATCTCTAAACATACGACCTCTGGACTAAAGTTCTAGTATATTCCTTCATTGGACCCCCTATGCCCCCTATACGGCCCCCAATAGGTCCCCTCAACGTAACTTTACTGGGTTGCTGTTCAGGAACTTAATTTAGTCTACCGTTACCATGGTATAGGTATGTCGTAAATACTATGGTTTCCTTAAAATGGTAGCGTAACGCAAGTTCCCAAACAGCAAACGCAGTTAGTCCGTAGCTCATACAAGTCGGGCAATCTGTTTTCCGACAGCAGCGGAAAATTGAGTCCTTCCTGCAAGCCCTGACTTCGACAAAAGCCGCAAACCTCGGTATAGGGCTTAGGGTACGGGGGTCTAGTGGTTAGGGTTCAGGGTAAGGCGGACCCCCCACGCAATAATGGGGACTATAAGGGATAATGGTGATTATACATTCGAGTGTACAATGCCTTCTATTCCTATTACAGGTGGGGGGTCCAACTAAGGCATACTACCGGAGGCGCATTTGGGGTTTCCATAAATCAGGGGACCAAAAACAGACCTCAGTCTGCTATAATCCACAGAGCTGTATGCTGGATTCTTTCCTGGGTTATAAGTTGACCCCCAGCATTTTTGGAAACCCCATTGTCTCCTGTACAAATCGAACATGCTTTCCGTCCAGGCTTTGGTAGCTGCTCCCTATGGGAGGCTTAGCCAGGACGGTCTCAGTTCCCAGAGTCTTGTTAAAATCGGGCGTCAAAATGCATCCATGCTCCTTGTGCCAAAACTAAAATCCAAACCACAACATGCCAAACAAAATACAATGCCCAAGATGTTCACGCCAGGCACTTTAAAATTGCCCGTCTAAACCTGCATCGAATTTTTGCTGGGCGAGCCTGCCAAGTTGTTTGGGCTAATGCCTGGATTCGAGACTGGGTCGACACAGGTGGCCATGGGGGAATTAGTACCCCGGAATTCCTCTAGCTCAGTCTCGTACTGTCTGAAATAGGCGGCGCCAGTGATGCTGGGGGTGCCAAACGCGAATTCCTGGTTCTCAAGATCTAGGCAATCAAAGGTTCTGCCTCGTGCCAGTCCAGAACTTGCCCGGCTGTCGCTTCTGCTTAGCATGTTGGTCTTCAGCATCTCCTCCATGGTGCCAGATTGCCGAGTCCTCGCAAAGGCATCCTTAGACACAGGGCTGCAAACCTTCTGCCACTGTACTAAATTCTTTAAATGCACTGTACTTGCTAGCAAGCGTCCCGCCACCTTCCAAGTGACTCTCGTACCTGCTTGTGCCAAGCAGTGCTGATGTCGTCCAGCTCCACCAGATCCACGTGAACTCGTGAAGGATGAGCCGGTGCGTGCAGCTGCAAGCCTCGCTTGCTGTCGTGCATGTACCTGTGGAACGGTTGCACGGTATCCTCAATCTTTGCCAGTCCTGGCAGGGCCCGGAAGAGCAGATCCACGAAGCGACCCAAGACCAAAGCCTGCCTCCTCAGGGAGAGCCTAGACAAAAGCGGCAAGCTCTTCTCGTTGTCTTCTAGGAGGCGATCGATCAAAATCCGGCGTAGTTGCACCATGAAGGGTCTGCCGATGTACTGCATCAACAACCTCTCCTGCAGCTGCAGGTCACCGGCAAGGACCGTCGGCAGCACTGGCAGATCCTCCCGGTTCTTTCGCGCATCCACAAAGATGAAGTACGCTTCCTTGAGCGTCTCGTGGAGGGTGTCACTGAAAGTGGCCATCAAGAACTCAGCAATGTTCTCGAAGAGGAACGGCACGAGTGGAACGTCAGGGATGTGGGACTTCAGGTCCTGGATCAGCGAGCGCCGCATCTCGCTATCGAAGAAGACATCCATAGCTCCCTCAATGAAGACCTCCACCACTACAGATTGTGTGGACTCCTCATCTCGGCATAATTCCTTGGTGTAGGAGCGCAAGGTTCGTCCAGGCTGCAAGGCCCCAACAATCACCCAGATGACAGCTCGGATAGTCCGCATCTTGTCCTGCTCATCCATGTACGGGAAGGTACATTCCTGGGCCGCTGCTCAAGAATGCAAGCTAAATTACCCTGATATGAGCTATGGTCTAGCCTCCCAATATCCCCCTTAATCACTTCAATGGTAGTCCCCTATAATGTTGCATCCCGATGGGTGTGGGGGTTCTCGATTGTGCGAAGCTTCGTCGAAATTATTCAGCACCCCCTAGGTTCGTTTGGGGGTGCTCAATTGTGCGAAGTTGCGCGGGCAAAAAAAAAATCTGAGAATAATAAGTAGAACAAATTCACCTAATTTGCTTTGAAAACCATGGCAGGCAGAAATGTTGCTCTGAACCCTGGAATCCTGCTCACCTTCTCAAACCTTTCTGAAACCTGAAACCCTCTGAAAACCTCCGACCTTTCTGAATGCCTTCTGTAACCCTGCTGATCTATTACTAAGCCCTGCCTGAGCCTTCCTATGGAATTTTAATTAAAACCTAGGATCCAGTCCCGCCTATTGAATTTTGATTGAGACCTAGGATCCAGATTTGTTTGGGGGGTGGCCCCCCCCCCAACACTAAACAGGGACCCATTTTTGTTTGGGCCGGGGGGCCCTACGCTAATCCGGACTATGGCTCCAATGGACAGAATTCAAACACCTTAACTGCAACCCCAGATTCTCGTTGGCAAAGCTGCACCAAGTTCGCGGTCAAGAGGGCCACGGATTTCTCGCCGAGCAGGCCTCGGAAAGCTGATGGATTAGGGTTTAGGGTTTAGGGTTTAGGGTTTAGGGTTTAGGGTTTAGGGCACTCAGGGTTTGGGGGGTCATTTTGATTTCAAAGTTTTCAGAACTCTGAGATTAGGGAAATCTGAGAGCCCTAACTAATGGTAAGTTTATATGGGCTTGCGGGTTCAGGGTTTAGGTTTCAGGGCTTGGGGCCCAATATCAAACCCACAACACGATAATCCTTGCTATAGCGACCCCTAACAAGGTACCCTAAAGTTCCCTCACTCTGTAATAGTGATATAATCAGTCTATAAGGGGGCCCTAATACAATCACCAGTATCCCTTATTGACTATGACTGGGTGCAACTGATCTGCTAACTACGTCCCCCTGTCCCTAAACCCTGAACCATAAACCCTAAATATTGTAGTAGTGTCCATGTTTTCCATCATTCCTTCGAAATCCCTTTCTAGCCCTTGCAGCTAGGAAACCCTTTGGAGTGTGCAGCATGTCGTAGTGTGGCGGTGCCAGACCTCGACAGATCACCTCGAGGCAAGTAGACACAGAGAGCTCGAACAGCTCCTGCTCCTGCTTACCAAAATTGAGGAGGCTAGGGTGAAGGGGTTATGATAAGCTGTGGGGGTTCGTAGGGAATGGAGGGCATCCCTCTGGTAAGGGATATCCGCAAAAAAATGCCAGTTTCTTTTCCATTCCCTAAACTCTATTCCCTAAACCCCAAATAATAAAAGTAGTTTTCATAACACTGAACCCAATACCCTAAACCCTATACCCTAAGCCGCAACGGCAAGCCTGATCTTCGTCCCATCCATCCAAATCCACAAGCTTGTTGATCAGGGTGGCGATTCGAACCAACTCTCCTTAGTGCTGAGGTTTAGGGCTTTGGTTTAGGGTTCAGGGTTTAGGGCCCGTTGTGGTATATCATGATATTTATACTATTGGGATTACTTAATATTAGGCGGGTGGCTGGATGTAACATTAAGGGGAGAGGATTAGTTAACCCACAGAATTAAGACTACTAGTATTGCTGTTTTTCTTTCTATCGCTGTTGCCATTTCTATTACTATGATTCGGACTACTACTATTATTGCTATTAAACTGTTATTCCTCCCCAAAACTCTTTGTAGGGACTCAGCGGGGGCTTCCATGTTATCTTGAAGCCTAAACCCTAAACGCAGGGTAGCTTGTGGAAGTGCACCACTCGAGATGAGAGATCTGCAACCCAAGTCTCCAGGATTTACATATAACACCCTGTATACCCGTACATCACAAACTCAGACTCATTTCATGTTCCGGATTCTTCCCGATTTGATTCTCCATTCCTAAACGCTAAACTCCATATGAGCTACAACCCTTACTTCCTTTCTATGTTCTTAACGGACATGGATTCCTGCTGGGGAGAGCTTAAGGGACTAGACGAGGTTGCCAGACGATGTCTAACCTGGATAATCCCTTAGTACCTCCAGTATTGACAGTAGCCTCTATAGGGATTCCACAAACATGGGTCCCCATTATAAACCCAAGAATACTATACTCCTTATTACAAGTACACCATAAAAAATCTGGAAACCCTATGAATCCCTCTATATCCTTCTGTATCCCTTCATAACCCCCAGGCTCCCTCTAAAGAAACCCATAATACAACCCTAAGCCCTAAACCCAATATAGCCCTAAACCCTAAACCGCGGACAGTGCTTCAGCCGGGAGGCTGTTACCCACACAGGCAACGGACCTAGCAGACCGCTGACCGCTCCAACCCAACTGCCTGGAGGCACCCAGTTTAGGGGTTTGAGCAGGCTTAGCGCTTTATCTTAAGGGTAATGCGGGGTACCCAAGGAGCGTGTGATTTTCAGGCCTGCATCATCTTGGAATTCATTCTAGCGGTATCTAGGGATGCCCCAGTATACGGGCTTTGCGAATTTTCAGGTTTTGGGTGTTGAGGGACGAGGATTCAAGGTTTAGGAGTTTGCATCTTCTGCTTGGGGTGGGACCAGCAGTGGACTTACACGCACTCACCAGCTGCATTCGAAGCCGAGATGCTGTCGGGACGAAAGCCCCGGCAAGGAGAAGCAGTGAACTTCCCGACGACTTTGGTAAGCCTCATCTTTGCAGTATTATTGCCGGTATTCTTACTATGATTACTCTATTACTCCCCGTACAATTATTACTACCATGGATTACTATTCTTAAGACTAATCCTTCTGGGGTCACCCTCCCTCACGCATGGTGTTTCTTGGGAAGCACACTGAAGTACGGATGGTCTGATGCTTTCCTTTAATGCTTGGAGGTTCTTGCGAGCTATAGTCTAAACTCCTTAAAGGGGGTTATATGGGGGACTACTATAGGGGTTTTTCAGGGGGATACTGGAGTTTCGGTCGGGTTCCAAGAGGCAGCCGCACCTGTTACCTAGCTTAGACCTCTAACCCCACTTGCAATGAACCGTGAACCTTCAGTCATGCGATCCTATGCCACACCCAGGTTCCTCAACCCTCCTGAAAAAGCCGCAATTAAGCCATATAAAGCTCCTATTTGGGAAGGCAGAATAAGGAAGCGGGTAGTATAGGATCTAGTACTTTATCTTCAGCTCCTCTAGCTTCACGCCACGCAAGCGCACATGCGGGATACGAAGACTATCTGGAACCACGTTCCTTAAAAGGGCGACAAATCAATTGGTGCTTGAGGGGGATGGGGCCAATGATGCCCATCTGTGGTAGGAATTGATTTATGGTCCCCCGCATTGGACAGCAAACCGCACTCTCCGTTATACATCAAAATCCTGGATCGTATGGTCGCCTACACTCATACCTAAAATAATGACAAGAATAGTGAGAAATAACAATAGAAATAGTCATAAGAACAATAGTAAGAAGAACAGTTTCCATTATAATGATAGCAATAATAGTAATGGTAACAACAACAGTAATAACAATCTTGATAATAATACTAGTAATAGTAACCACTCGCCCTAAGCACCAGTAAGCTGCTTGCAGCTGCGTAACTTGGAAGGTCAGAAGGCCAGCCAGGCCTTACGCAACCCAACAGGCAAGGAGCTTTAGACATGTCTACTTGGGTCAATCCCCCACCCAAGAATTGTAGGTGTATTAAGGCCCGATTAACTCCATATGTAAAGGTTACTACTGTAGGGGGGAATATCCTGAATGTCTGCGCAGACCGCAAACCCCTAAACGCATGCAGTCAATCTACGCACTTAAGACTTCGGCTTGCCAAATTTTTGTTGAGTTCGAAACCCTCCCACCCCACTTTAGACTAAATAGTCCCCCCCCATTGCATAGAGGTACGATATTGGGAATGTGTATTGCAATCCCTACAGACCGCCACGTAGTTTTCCCGCTCTTTCTCCACTAAAACATGAACCAGTTATCATTTTCTTTCCCATTCTCTTATACACAGACACAACGCTTTGCCCGTGTATAACTATGACTCCTATATACTCCATAGGTATCCCTTCTAAACCCCTGTGCGACCGCAAAACCCTAAACTCCAAAACTTAAAACCTACACCCTAAGCCCTAATCCCTAAACCCGAATCCCTAAACCCTAAACCCTAATTCCCTAAACCCGAATCCCTAAACCCTAAACCCTAATCCCTACACCCTAAACCCTAAAACAACCCTAAACCCCTAATCCCTAAACCCTAGACCCTAAACCCTAAGCCCCAAACCCTAAACCCTAAATCCCCAAACCCCAAACCCGGTCTGACTGATTCCACTTCGAGGCCCGGACCCGCCGCCCTGGCGGCATGGCGCGCCAAAAACCGAGGAGCATGCATCGCTGGCAATGCTCATTGCAAAAGGGTCTGGAATCTTTTTTTAAGAAAGAAGAATTTAGGGTTTAGGGTTTAGTATTTAGGGTTCAGGGTTTGGAGTTTAGGGTTCACGGTTAAGGGTTTGGGGTTTAGGGTTCAGGGCTTGGAATTTAGAGTTTAGGCTTTTTTTTCACTCTCTGAAACTGAAGGAACCCCATAGTCGTCCCTGAAGAATGGCAATTGATTTCAGAATGCTTGATGGTTCGAATTGTGGATTGCGATACGTGGCAGCCACGATGGAAACTGGGATCTTCCCACCTCTTGACCATCTGGCTATGAATTATGAAGCGTATCCTACACCCTACCCTTAACTCTGAAGCACGTAGAAAATGTTCATCTGCAGTTTTGGGCAAAATTTCCAGCTGCAGGAAGTGCCATTAGGCACATGAAGGCATCTTTCTAGGTTTAGGGTTTGGGGTTTGATTCAGGGTCGGTGGGCAACGGTGCACATCCCATATAAAGAGGATGGTGCTTCTTGAATATCGGGAAAAGGTGAGTTCCGTGAACAGCAAGGTATATGTGGCATGTGTACATCATGGACACCACAGATATAGTACCCTTGTCATCCATACCAAATTGCTTGTCCTTACTCTTCTAACTATGGGAATGCCGGATAAGGGGCTCACTTTAAGCGTTGTTGGGAAACTGGCGTTCAATCCTCGGGAAATATCCCTGGAACTATACCGCCTATGAAAACGTTCTCAAAGATTTGGGTCCCTCATGAGGTGACATACAGAGGCTGGTAAGTATAGGTTTTGGGTTTAGGGTTTAGGGTTTAAGGGCTAGGAATCCGCACAATCCTACACCTCCCCCCCAAAACCATGGACCCCCAAATCTAACCCCAACATACTACCATCCTTCTTGGAAACCCAAATTCTAAGCCCGAAGTCCTAAATCCTAAACCCTAAATCCTAAACCCTAAATCCCAAACCCTAAACCCTAAACCCTAAATCCCAAACCCTAAACCCTAAACGTATAGGGCCCCTGCATCTCCTCTTCGCTGTTGTCCTGACCCTCTCGCAGGGCTCTTCCACAGGATGCGGCCTGCAACTTACTGGGTTTGGGGATTTAGGTGTTGGATTTAGGCCCTTAAGTAGACAGAATATAGGGTTTGGGGATTTAGGGTTTTGGAGTTAGGGTTTAGGGTTTGGGGTTTCGGATTTAAAGATTAGGTTTGGGATTTGGGGTTTAGGATTTGAGGTTTAGGGTTTAAGGCTTACTCATGCCTACACGAGTTGGGCTGGAGGAAAGGAAAAGGATATGACAAATACTACCTAATGTGCTTTCTGGGACCATGTTCCTGCTGTTTGGCAGGCGCATTCCGGATTTATAGTCCCCCTGAGGTAGATACAGTAGAATATGGCTTTGGGTACATTAAAATAGGATCCCCATATACCCCATACTCTATCTACTTAAGGGGACGATAGGACTTCAGGGCTTGGGACCTGCAAAGCCCACCCTAAACCCTAAACCCTAGACCCTAAACCCTAAACTCTAAACCCTAAACCCTAAACCCTATATTAGTCTCCGGAGTTCAGTCCCCCAGAAGTGGACACACAGACAGTGAAAGATTTGAAACAACCTATGTGGGGGTTTCCCAAAATTCGGGGTCCCTTTTTAGTGGTTCCCAGAATAAGGACTATAGTATATTGGGGTCCATTTGGGGTTCCCCTATTTGAGGAAACTACCATACCACCTGGAATAATCTCAAAGAATCCCGATTACCCCTTTTTACCTGACACACGCACGCACACCAAGAAATATAACACAATTTTCTCCAAACCATCCATAAACCCTAAACCCTAAACCCTAAATCACCACCCCAACCTCGATTGCATCGGCGATGAAGCGGCCGGATCCATGGCACTCCACGACATCCACATCCAGTGTCGTGATGCCAGACTTTCTGCATGCCTGTACATTTTAAGGCCTGGGGTTTAGGGTTTTAGGGTTTCGGGTTTAGGGCTTAGGGTTTAAGGTTTGGGGATGTGAAATTGCAGCCTCTTGAAACAGTCCCCACTTACTCCTAACAGGGACCCCTCTAGCCAATTAGAATTCCATATTTTTCTAGGGTCCTTGAGGCCCCCAGTACGTGGAACAGTTGGCCGTTATTGTAAACTGCTACTATTATTAGTGGTGTCATCACCTTTCACTACCCACTACATCCTGAACCTTAAACCCCTAAACCCTAGAAACCCTACACTCTAAACCCTAAACTTAGACCCTAAAACCCTAAACTCTAAACCCCCAGACCCCTAGAACCCTTCGACACTTTCAGATTTACTTCAACTGTGCCTCCACCAGCACAGCCTGCTCTGCAGGGCCGGAGGGAGCTGTCCTCCAGAAATGGGGTATAGGGTTTGGGGGTTTAGGATTTAGGGGTTTAGGGTTTAGGGGCTTAGGGTTTGGGGGCTTAAGGATTTAGGGGTTTAGGGGTTTGGGGTGTAAGGGTGTAGGGGTTTAGAGTCCTAGGGTTTGGGGGTTTGGGGTTCAGGGTTTGGGGTTTGGGGTTTAGGGTTGTATAGGGTCATGCAGGGATGATATGGGGTTATGTACAGGTTATGTAGGATTATACAGAAATTGCATGGATGGCAACAGACCGCTTCATGTCGGTATTTCTGAAACATGCCTTTATGCCCTATGTAATCCTTAATAGGGACCCCCATAATCATTTTGACTCATGCGTCTGCCTGGGGCCACAGTTTTGAACAACCCTAAACCCTAAACCCCAAATCCTAAACCCTAAACCCTAAGCAACCCATTGTGCATTGGCTGAGAGCAAGGCATTCCAGCGCTCTTCCCGCTGTTTTGCGTGGCGCCGCCAACAATTGTTCCAACTGATGGCTGGTCATCCTTCTCCTTCAACACAGTCAGTAACCATATAAGGGATTATAGTAACCATATAAGGGATTCTAGTAACCATTTATAGTAACCATATTAGAGTCTAGTCACTAATTTTGAGCAATAGTAGTAATACTACTAATAATAGTAATACTGAGAATAGCAATAATAGTAGCAATAATAATAGTAACAGTAATTCTGAACATGGAAGGCAGCTACTCACCATTGCGGACTACCAAAAAAATTCTGCATGAGCACCTCCTGGCCATCCATCTTCTCTTGGCATTTCAGCACCACCGTGCCGACACCTTCGGACCTGTTCAGTCAAGAACGATAGATGCTCAAATCAAAATACTTTATCCATCACAGCACAGCAAAATTGCTATGGGCATTTGACACAATGGAACATGATGAAACACACAGATGCCTTGAGAGGACACCCCACACTGTGATATACAAGAAGACCCTAATATGGTTACTATAATCCCTTATATGGTTACTATAGACCCTAATATGGTTACTGTAATCCCTTATATGGTTACTTATAATCCCTTATATGTTTACTATAATCCCTTATATGGTTACTATAATCCGTTACATGGTTACCATAATCCCTAATATGGTTACTATAATCCCTTATATGGTTACTATAATCCCTTAGATGGTTACTATGATCCGTTACATGGTTACTATAATCCCTAATATGGTTACTATAATCCCTTATATGGTTACTATAATCGATCCCTTATATGGTTACTATGATCCGTTACATGGTTACTACAATCCCTTATATGGTTACTATAATCCCTTATATGGTTACTATGATCCGTTATATGGTTGCTACAATCCCTTATATGGTTACTATAATCCCTTATGTGGTTACTATAATCCCTTATAGTCACTAAGGCCTAGCAACCTCGCCTCACGTGGCCCTGTGCGCTCGCGTCAAAAGTGAAGCAACGGCCCCCGGGGCACAGAAAGCCAGCCGCTGTGTGCGCTGGCCACCAAGCCTTAGTCTGTGTATGATGCATGCAAGAAAACGTAAGGGTTTAGGGTTTTTTGTTTTTTGCTTAAACGCCTTTTTCCACCTGCATGACAGATAGAAGACTCCCTGGTCAGGCGAAAAGGGGTTTAGAGCTAATGGTTTAGAGTCATAGCAATAATCATAGTAATAATTGTACTAAGAGTAATGACAGTCATAACACGGTAATCACAGTGATAATAGCAATAATAGAAAAGACAGGAATAAGAGTGTTTATTGTGATGATTATAACAACAGTAATAGCAGGGGTATGGTTATTACTACCATTACTGTCATTACGATTACTACTATTGCTACTGTCTTTTCTATTAATGCTACTATTGCCATTGTTCTTGCTACTGTCACGGATACTGCTACAATTGCTATTGATACTGCTAATAGTAGTTGCCATTTTCTTTTCCATTCTCCCTATATAACCCCAATAATGTACCCAATATTCTATCTATTTCAAGCCGCATTCTACATTACAGGAGGGTGTCACGTAAACTATAGTCCAACCTCCCAGATCCCCCTTAATGCTCACATGAACTCTTGTCAATGTAGCCTTATTAAGGGACCAGTAACAGTGGACCTAGAGGTCCCTCTTGTAGTTGAGTATAGTCCCTACTATAGTCCCTAATAAGGAACCCATGTCCATAAAAATATATGGTAATTTCACAAAATGAGGGGACCACAATATAGACCCCAAAATACTATGATCCTTATTATAGGGACCCCCAATAAGGTACCCCTATTTTTGGGAACCCCCATATAAGAGTTTAGGCTATGGCTCACATGAACAGCTCTGCTTGAAGCATTTGCCAAATCCTGCCTTGGCAAGGCAAAGATGCACGCCAATGCCGCAGGCCATTTCCTGCCACACGTAAGTAATAATAGTAAGAGGGTTTAGGGTTTAGGGTAATAAGAATAAGAATAAAAGATTCACCAAAATAGCAATAATAATAGTGAAAATTACTGTAATAACTCAGAATAATGATAATACTAGTGATAGTAATAGTAACAATAATAATGGTAATGCTTTCTCACGAGCAATCATGGAATAGATAAGCAATATCAATGTACTGCCTGAACTCCAAATCGGAAAAACCTAAGTGCTAACCACCCTAGACCCTAAACCCTAAACCCTTGGCTATTGGGATCCCATTCCTCCGGTCCCTGCTAATATTCCCTTACCATTCCCATTATGGATTACACTAGGGCTTCATATCATACCTACCTAGAGGGTCGACTCAACTGGGTTGCTGTAAAGAAACTAAATTAAGTTACCATGCGATGGGCACATTAAGGTTTAGGGTTTTGATGATAAGGAAATTCTATTATTTGCGATGTCCGCATAGCATTGCAACTTGATTGAAGTTCCTTAACAGCAACCCAGTCGAAACAGGAAAGTTCTTCAACTGCCAGAGTCCTGGATGTGGCCAGCGCCCTTCTTTTCGACGGACTCTGCGGCCCAGAAGGTCGCAGATAAACCAGATGCGGCCTACCGTCTGCAGCGATTACTATTGCTACTAATATTACTATTCTACTGCTATTCCTACTAGAAATACTACTATTATTACTATTAGTACTGTTATTACTATTCTTACTATCATGTCTATTCTGACTAATACTACTACCATTACTAGCCTATTATTACTACTTTTGCTGTTCTTTCAATTATCAATATTACCTGCACGCATGCTTGCAGGGTCAGGGGACTTAGTAAGTAGGTTCACAACCCCCATAAACCCTTTTAGTAACCCTACTCACTCATCCCCCGTGTTTACCTACTTACTAAGTCACCTGACCCCCCAAGTACCGTCTGCAGTGCCACTTGCAAGCATGTGGCATGTGAGTCTGGTTGTCGAACCTCCGTATCAATGGCTAAACTGGCCCCTTTGCATCCAAGACAGAAACTCAGACCTTAGCAAAATCAACTGAGGATCAGCAATGGCAGAAAGACAGCATAAGGTAGTTTCCCAAAATAGGGGGACCCCAATAACGAGCCCAATATACTATAATCCTTACTAGTGGGACCCCCAAACAAATGCCCCCTAGATTTGGGGAAGCCCCCAAAAGCACCGAGTGCGCCAACGTCCAGCAGTGATACTGGGGGCTCCTCCCGTGGCACCGAAAATGCCAACCTCAGCGGAACAATCTTTTGGCGTGTGAAGTACTACTATTGGTTGTTACCAGTATCAGGAAGTACTAGTTTTTGCTCTTAGAATTATTAAGTACTACTCTTGGTTGTTCCCAGTGTTAATAACTATTCCCCACATTCATTGCGGGGTTCTAATTGTTTCGATGTCCGTCGCCCGGCACCCGCGGCGTGCCTTCCGTCGCGCAAACATTCTGGCCATGCTCAAGTTTTTGTTAAGAATCGCGCTCTCGCGCGAGATATCCTCGAAAAGCGATCTTTTCCTAGATCGATGATGGATCCAGCTGAGAGGCCAGATCGCCTTTAAAGTAGTCTTGCCAGGGGGGTCAATTACGGTTTGGTCGCAATTCGATTTTCGAAAAATCTTCGAGAAATCCTCACAAAATCGCTTTTTTTCGGACTTTATGAATTATCAAAAATTGCGCGCCCGCGCAGAGACACTTCGATTTGTTTGACGTTTTGATCATATTCGTATCTTCAAAAGTTGCGCTCTCGCTCGGGACGTCCTCAAAATTTCGTCGATTCATCTTCGTTAAAATCGATCAAAATTGCGCTCCCGTGCGGAGCATTCGGAAAGTTTTGATGATTTATCTTCAAAAATCGCGCTCCCGCTCGAGACATCCTCGAAATTTCGTCGATTTATCTTCTCAAGAGGGAGGTTCTTGGGGGGGCGTTTTGGTATAGGATTGGTATAGGATTCGTCGGATTCATCGTTCAGATTTTGATCGCTTAAGGAACGATTTCTATACCAACTCTATACCAAACTGATCCGCTCAAGGTCGTCCTCTTTTGACGAAAGTCGTGCTCCCGTGCGGATATTCGGCAAATTTTGATGATTTATCTTCAAAAATCGCGCTCCCGCTCGAGACATGCTCGAAATTTTGGTGGGCGATTTGGTATAGGATTGGTATCGGATTTGTCGGATTCATCGTTCAAATTTGGATCGCTTAAGGAACGATTTCTATACCAACTCTATACCAAACTGATCCGCTCAAGGTCGTCCTCTTTTGACGAAAATCGCGCTCCCGTGCGGAGCGTCTTGAAAAGTTTGATTAAAATCATGCTCCCGTATGGAGCATCCTCAAAATTTGTGAAAAGTCGTGCTCCCGTGCGGAACATCTTGAAAACCTTGACGAAAATCGCGCTCCCGTGCGGAGCATCCTGAGAATTTTGATTAAAATCGCGCTCCCGTGCGGAGCGTCCTGAAAATTTTGATTCAAATCGCGCTCCCGTGCGGAGCATCTTCAAAATTTTGACGAAAATCGTGCTCCCGTGCGGAGCATCCTCAAAATTTCGGGAGCATCCTGAAAATTTTGACCAAAATCGCGCTCCCGCGCGGAGCATCTTCAAAATTTTGACGAAAATCGCTCTCCCGTGCGGAGCATCTTCAAAATTTAGGGAGCATCCTGAAAATGTTGATGAAAATCGTGCTCCCGCGCGGAGCATCCTCAGAATTTTATCGACTTTTCGTTCAAAATCGCGTTCCCGTGCGAAGCATCTTGAAGATCTTAAAGAAAATCGTGCTCCCACGCGGGGCATTCTGAAAATTCCGTTGACTGTTCGCTCAAAATCGCGCTCCCTTGCGGAGCATCCTCGAAATTCGGTCGATTTTTCATTACATATGTATGACTATATATACATACACTCATTCATTCGTTCATACGTACGTACATAATCATACATACATACATACATACATAATCATACATACATATATATACATACATACATACATACATACATACATACGTACATACGTACATACATACATACATACATACATACATATATATCCTTTTGCAGGCAGAATAAGGTTCAAAATTTACGTGTCAGTTTGCAAGCATCAACCTCATCATTCACTGGTAGTTGAAGAATGCAATTGAATAGCAGCTTTGCCAGGAGAAGGTTATAAACGCCGCTCCTCAATTTCCACCTCATTCTGAAAATCAGGTGATAAAACTCTGTCATGCTAACCTGTTTTTACGTGAAAAGGTTGATGGCCAGTAGAAATTGTTCAGGAATAGCGCTGCAGGACACTCACGTTGACGCCTGGTCTGTTATAGTCCCGCGACTTTGTTACTGAGCCATGCCGACTGAGTACACCATCAATGGAGCAATGAAGCTCCAGCATTAACAAAGCACGAGCTCCCTCAACCCAGCGACGCGTGCATTACAAAGGGCATGTAGAAACACTACCCCCCTGAGTGGAGAGCAGCAGTCCCCCGAAGAGCTCTCGCCGGCCAACTTTCAACCCAAGGCAAGGCTTGTCTTACACAGCCTCCTGTCGATTCTCTCCTCCTCTCCTTGGGCTATTTTTGGGCCAGCTCTTCGTGGTATCGGGGTAGCCCCTACTACCCCTTTTAAGACCCAGGCAAGTAGACTCCCAATAGTTGTTTTGCA